ATATATAATATATAGTCAAAAGAAATCAAATTGACCCGAGACGCGCGAATGCTGACAATCACTTTGTATTGTGAGTAAAATTTAGACGAATCGACTAAAGCGAAAACAACTCTGAGAGCATTACTGCAACTTAGATATAGTCAACAACACTAAATATACTCTAAACAGAATCGAAAGATGTGAACATCCAAAATGTACACCCATCCTATAACCGTTATAAAGTGGCTATGAATTGTGATTTAGATCCTGGCGGTGCCAGAAGCATGGACCAACTGGATGGAGGAACTGATGCATCTGAACGCCGTTTTTTTATCGCATCTGTATGCTCACGACTTTTGAAGCCCATGAAAAACACGACTGATGCTACCGTCCAGTCGTCTGGTGACCATTCTGTTAGAGTTCAAATTAGCCTCCTATTTGGCATGCCTGGTCGGCAGCAACAAACATTCGTCACACCTTCGGTGTCTGAGCTTGGTCACCTTCCAGCTTTATCAGTCCCGGCGGTCTGGCCAAAGACGATATTTCCGTCCGGACTGGGAAGGCCAGATCAGCTTTTGTGAACCTGCATCACCTGTGACACAAACGTGACACCTGTCAGAGAATGGTTCTACACTGCTTGTTAATGACTAACTTTAAAATAAACTATACTACTCTCGGTTGATCTCAGTTTCTAGGTTCCTGAAAAAAGAGATGATTTTTGGCCGGCTCCACGTGACCAGAGGTAACATAGATTGCAACGTATTAAAAATTTAACTACTGAACAGCACTACAGTAGCCAAATTTATGAGGAAAAAAGGCGACAGCCACGTGCCGATTGCACCTACTTAGGGACGCCTTTCTCATACAATCAAAAGTCAGGCATAAGGTCTTGACAAGAATTGTATGCTGTTTAGTGTTGGACCATCAAGAGGCAGGAGACGAAATGGGGAGGATAGATTCTGGCCGTAAAAATAAGGGCGATAAAAATAAAAAGTAATCCGAAAAGGGAGGAAACTGGGATGTTTGTTCGGCTCAACATTTTCTCCGTGTCTTCCCTCGAGCGGGCAGAGCGGCAGATGGCCGTTTGGTGGATGGTCCGCGTGTACGCTTCTGCTGCACGTCCCCCGGATCATTGCTCTCCATCAAGATGTGGCCGAGGCCAGCCTGGTTCATGCTTGCAATCAGCCTCGTTCGGGCTTCACGTAGCTCATCTGAGAGTTTATCGATTTCAGGGGCGTGCAGTAAGGCAGGGATCAAGGTGGCACGCAGTCGACGTGGCCTGTCAGAAAAATACAAGGTACAGCGGATAAATAAAGGGATTAAAACGAATGCCTTCATGGACCACAGTATCCTACTGTGTGCATCAACGCTGTATGTCTTGTTAGTTCTCTGCACAGGAAGTGGGATAGGGGCAGTCGAATTTCCGTAGTTGAGGGCTGAGTGATGCTAAATACTGCCAAAGTGCAAGTTAATCACATTGCTGAACATCCGCTCATGGCCGAACGGTTAAGTACGCAAACTGCTAAACGGGAGTGTCTTAGTGTCGAAAAAAGACTCGCCAACAAGGAACACAATTCCAGACAAGCGAGTGTGAAAGTTACAAAGATTTTCACGGTATTTAAAGCGTACCGTTGACATTGGCCCAGGCTGTTTGACCGGTATTTGGTGGACACACATAGTCGCTGGTCATGCTTCTTTGGCGTGCCTGAACACTCTTCGGTAGTTGCTGAATTGATCGACTGCTTGAGCGTTCGATCGGAAATTGGCTTTCCTGGTCTAGATGC